TCTCTCTCTCTCACACACACACACACACACACACACACACACACACATGCTGAACATGCAGGATTCACATTTAAAGTCTTTCTGCGGCTGAATATTCACAGACACTAGTCCATATCGCCATTTGATTTAACTGTAACGACCTACTTTTGATTCATTCATCCAAACTTTGACAAATTCTGTGACATTCTGCGTTATAGAGTAAATTCTGTTTTTATGACTGGATTCTGAAATCATAGTCCGGTAATCACCTCATGAAAGGGTGCGTGACCCTAAACACAGATGAGCATCTGCAAGCATTTTATTTCAACAAACTGAATTACTCCTAGAATGCACACGCAAAAAACATTCTTGAATGTGTGTCTCTGAGAATGTGCTCAATAATGACACTTCGAAATATTCACGTGTGTGTGTGTGCATGAGTGTGTGTGCGCATTTTTGTGACAAATGAGGACATAAATGTGTATAATGACAAAGGTATGACAGGTATTACAAGGAGAAGGTGACTTTTCAGGACATTACCCCATGTCCCCACTTTTCAAAACGCTTATAAATCACACAGAATGGAGTGTATTGAAAATCTGAAATAGCAGAAAGTCTCCTGTGAGGGGTAGGTTTAGGGGTAGGGTTGGTGTAGGACAATAGAATATACGGTCTGTACAGTATAAAAACCATTACACCTATGGAGAGTCCCCATAAAAACAAACCTGTGTGTGTGTGTTCAGGCCGTGGTGACGGTGATGCCGGGGATGTGGAGGGCCGCCGGTCCGTTCGTTATCCAGACAATCATCAGCTCTTCGTTGGAAATCTTCCTCATGACATTGACGAGGGCGAGCTGAAAGAGTTCTTCATGAGTAAGACCTTTACCCTCTGACCTCTGACATGCTGATGAGTGTGTGTCTGTGGTTTAACGCCGCTCTGTTTCCGTCAGCGTTTGGGAACATGGTGGAGATGAGGATCAACACCAAAGGCGTCGGAGGGAGGCTGCCCAACTTCGGCTTCGTGGTGTTCGATGACTCCGAGCCGGTGCAGAGGATTCTGGGATCCAAGGTTTGTGAGAGGAGTCGTCACGGCTCGTGGGAGCGGCTGGGGTTTGGCCTGCTCACATTAGATTCTGACAAACGGCATTCAGCGGCAGCTGCGTGGAGCTCGGATCGTGTGTGCATGCGGAGGTTTCTGATCTGATCTGAGCTTCAGATGCGTTCAGTTATTTGAACTTCTGCGGCTAGACCGTATGCGAACAGATGCGATGATTCTAATCAAAACTAGGAGTGCGAGGTCAGAATTACCTATATTTTCCCACTTTAACGTTATTCTGTAAACACTATTTCTGTAAAATGGCAGTTTATAATAATCATGGCAGAAATAATTATTTTATAATTATTAAATCATAATGTACGTTGATTAGCCCCATAAAACTACTGTTTTTATTTGGGGGGTCATTTGTTTTGTGTGGATATATTCATACATTCATTATATTCATTAAAAACAAAAGGAGAAATGCCACAGTCACATCTTGATGAATAAATCACTGAATCATTGACTCGCTCGGTAACGAATCACCGCGGTGTGTTGATCAGAGATGCTCGGTTCTGCTCTGGCTTTCATTAGAACTATTTCCATTGGTGAAAATTAAGCAAAAGGGACAATGTTGACAATATTACGTCTAAAATGCAACAATATTAACTGCTTGTTTATTGAACTGTTGACTAAAATCAATATCTCATTTGCAATTGTGCAGATATTGGTGAAAACCGCACTCTTGCTGGTGTGATATTGCTAAACTATATTTGCATTCATATATTAATGTTTAGGCTGATATAACTGCATTGTAATAGGCTTCATCACACAGTCGTCCTGCATCGTGTTCATCAGAAACTGCATGCAGGGTTTTTCCCACAATTAATTGCACCAAATTGAATGTTAAATACGTTTGTTTTCCACTTCTGTGAATCAGTTCAGACGAAGTCAGGGTTGATTCCGTGTTCACTGGAGTCACTTATTACAGGAAACGTTTTGAATCAGTGGTTTGTTTAATATGTTATTAAACGGCTGATGAACGAACAGGAAGTCAGCGTTTCCTCTTTCCTGTCTCCTGCAGCCCATCATGTTCCGCGGAGAAGTGCGTCTGAACGTGGAGGAGAAGAAGAGCAGGGCGGCGCGCGAGCGGGAGACCAGAGGAGCGGCGGAGGGCCGGCGTGGGCCCCGGGGCCCCCTGGGGAACGGACTGGGGCGTGAGCGAGAGGCCCGGGGGTCCTCCAGGGCTGGGATGAGCCGCTTCACAGGCCCCCGCCGCTGAACGCTGATGAAGGCCTCTACTCGTCTGATTGGTTTTGTTGCTCTCGTGTCTCTCTCTGGCTTTCGGACTCTGACCGGCCCTCAAAGACTCTCAGACTCGCGCCGCGCCGAGATCATCTGCGCTTTCCTTTGTATTCTCCACATGATTTTTTGCGAAGAAGAACAGGACAGTGTGATATTTTTTTTTTTTTACAGGAAACGTTTTGAATCAGTGGTTTGTTTAATATGTTATTAAACGGCTGATGAACGAACAGGAAGTCAGCGTTTCCTCTTTCCTGTCTCCTGCAGCCCATCATGTTCCGCGGAGAAGTGCGTCTGAACGTGGAGGAGAAGAAGAGCAGGGCGGCACGCGAGCGGGAGACCAGAGGAGCGGCGGAGGGCCGGCGTGGGCCCCGGGGCCCCCTGGGGAACGGACTGGGGCGTGAGCGAGAGGCCCGGGGGTCCTCCAGGGCTGGGATGAGCCGCTTCACAGGCCCCCGCCGCTGAACGCTGATGAAGGCCTCTACTCGTCTGATTGGTTTTGTTGCTCTCGTGTCTCTCTCTGGCTTTCGGACTCTGACCGGCCCTCAAAGACTCTCAGACTCGCGCCGCGCCGAGATCATCTGCGCTTTCCTTTGTATTCTCCACATGATTTTTTGCGAAGAAGAACAGGACAGTGTGATATTTTTTTTTTCTCTAGAACAGAAGCTGATCTCTCACGGTTTATAACGGATGAGCGGCAGCGCTTCATCAATCAGTGCTCAGTGTACACTTATTTATTTTCCTAGTGAATAAAGCGGTGGTGGTGCCTTAACTCGTCTCTCTCCCGTCTGTGTGTCTCGCGAGTGTCGAGGTGTTAGCGGTTCACAGATGCTGATCCGAGCTGGTTTAATCCGCATTGGTTCTGGTCTGGAGTCGGTTTTCTTTGCATGGCTCTTCTGGATCGTGCTGCTCTTTCCATTGATTTCCGGAGCGTTTCTCGCCACACTGTCCGCTGCGTTTGGTTCTGGGTTCAGACTGGACTTCAGTCGGCTTCAGCAGGTTTTTGTTTGAATGTGTTTTCAACTTTCAATAAACTACTGAAATCTGCAAGCTCGTTGAGTTCGCTTGTTTATTGAAGAGTCTGGGTTTCATTGTCCAGCTCGGCGGTCATGATGTCGGTCGAACACTGGATGCTGGTATCTGCACACGCATGGATTCACTGTAAGTACAGTATAGCTGCAGTTTCTGTGGTTGGCTGCGTGAACTGCTTCGACTAGTCTCACAAGCTCGTCATCTAGTTTCGCTGAAGACTGGTCAGCACTTAAGGTCAGTTACATAAAAAGGTAGATTGGTTTATTTGTCAGTCTGATTACCTCGACTCGCTGCTAGTTGGTCAAACTAGTTCTTATGACCCGGATTCCTTTAATATCTCATTGTCTTGCTGTAGGGATGTTGCTGACACTGGAACAAAATATAGATATTTTCCAGTTTACATATGAACCTGTGGCGTTGCTTTGGGAGCTTAAGCCCCTGATCTTTTTGAAGATTGATTAAACCAGTGTATTTATTTTTGTAAAATGGTCTTTTGTGCGATCATCCACACATGCAAATACTTGTTTGCACCGGTTATATGATGTATTTTATATTCTTTAGGCACTCGTAGGCTGTAGTTTTGTAGCAATCCAACATGCCATGGAAAGTCAATCTGACTTGACATTTTCTTATATTGATATGTATTTTCATGATCATGATAGTGTCTGTGTCATCTCTGAATATCTGAAGGACTTTCACACATTTACACACGGCTCTCGATTCTGACTTGTGCTTGCTCTTATGAAGATAGTTCTTAACAGCATGTGTTATAATAAGGCTAACCCGTTATCCATTACCAGGCCAATAATGACTTTTCATGAATCTATATAGCATTTGTTATGAAAAACTACAGCTACAACATGCCACCATTCTAATATACATCTTTAGGAAAAGTATCTATTATAAAGTCTACCACAGTAAATAAGCCTACAGTGAAACGTGATCAATTCTGGTAAAGGTGGTCATGAGTAGTTTAAAAAGATTTTTTTTTCGATTTTATTGTTTTGTTTGTGGTGAACAATCCTGTAGCATTTCAAGTTAGTGTCCTAATTCAATTCCATCCCGAATGACCTCAAATGACCTTCATGATGTATATAGATATTAAGACGAATACATGCATATTCGCAAACATGCGCACACACAAGCATATATTATATTACATGTATCTTTCTATATATTGATCATCCTTTATTTATTTATAGCAACAAAATCAGACCTTCTTTCCGATACATATTCAACCCATTTCCTCCATTTTCCCAGAAAGGCATCCTTCTTTAAATTAACCAAAAAAGGGATCTTTTCCGCTGTATAAATCTCTGTGGTCACGTCTATCCAATCATCTAAAGTTGGTCTCTTGTTTTAACCGTTTACGTGTGATCGCTTTCTTACTGGCTGCCATAAGCGCACCCGTCAGGTATTTATTATCTGCGGTTACTATATCTGGACATACGCTGCCAAAATACAACCATTTGCTTTCTAAAGGTAGGTCTCTTCTAAAAACATATTTAAGTGCCTCCTGTATTTCCTTCCAGTATTCTTGAATATGTAGGCATTCCCAAAATATATGATAATGGTTTGCTTCATTACATCCACAGTTTCGCCAACATTGTGAAGAAATATGACTATATTTGGCTGTTTGTACTGGTGTTTTAAAATATCTAATAATGTTTTTCCAACAATATTCCTTCCAATTTAATGAACTAGTTGATTTCCATTGAAATGTCCATATATTAGACTACTCTTCATCAGTAAAGGTTCTTCCACCTTCTCTTAGATATAAGTTTTCATATTTTCCAAGCCAAAATACAACCATTTGCTTTCTAAAGGTAGGTCTCTTCTAAAAACATATTTAAGTGCCTCCTGTATTTCCTTATATTTCCCAAAATATATGATAATGGTTTGCTTCATTACATCCACAGTTTCGCCAACATTGTGAAGAAATATGACTATATTTGGCTGTTTGTACTGGTGTTTTAAAATAGCTAATAACATTTTTCCAACAATATTCCTTCCAATTTAATGAACTAGTTGATTTCCATTGAAATGTCCATATATTAGACTACTCTTCATCAGTAAAGGTTCTTCCACCTTCTCTTAGATATAAGTTTTCATATTTTCCAAACTCTTGTATATCTGGGAAACTGTCTTATATCTAATACCTGATGTGTGTGCCGCCGCCTTAAGTAGGTCTACCAATGGATTCAAATTATCTTTGATTTTTCCTTTTATATTTTTATCATAATCATTTCGAGCCTGGAGGTATCTGTAGAAATCCTGATTTTCTAGAAAAAACTTTTCCTTTAGCAGTTGAACATTTACAATGTCACCTTTCTCAGTGATGGAGCAGAAAGAAGTAATTCCCCTCTTTGTCCACAATTTAAATCTGTTATCTGACCTGTTTGAGGTCAAGTCTGCATCATAAGCAATCCATTTCAAAACTGTACTGTGTTCCAGCCAATTAAATTCCTTTACCACTGTTGTCCAAACATTTAAAGTAAGTTTTGTCCATGGGTTTTCTATCCTTTCTATACAGTGGGGCAAAAAAGTATTTAGTCAGCCACCAATTGTGCAAGTTCTCCCACTTAAAAAGATGAGAGAGGCCTGTAATTTTCATCATAGGTATACCTCAACTATGAGAGACAAAATGAGGAAAAAAATCCAGAAAATCACATTGTAGGATTCGTAACTGTTAATATGGCTTGTATAGGAATATTCTTTGAAATATGATAATGTGGGTCACACCAGTCTACCGCTGTCCTGATTTGTGCTGCTATATAATAATCGTTTAGTGAAGGAAAAGCCTCCTTTATGCTTTGGCGACTACAAGGTTTTAAAACGTACTCTGGGTTTCCCTGCCAAATAAATCGTGAAAACATTTGATCCCGTTCTATGAATTGCTTTGCAGTTATTTCTACAGGTAAACATTGGAATAGATAGACATTTTGGTAATATGTTCATTTTAATTGCTTCAGTCCTAGAGCTAAAACTAAAAAAAGGAATTAAATTCCATCTGGTTAAATCTTCTCTAATTTTTACAGTTAGTGGACCTGTCTTTTGTCAGGTGGATACCTAAATATTTAAATGATTTTGTATGCCATTTTAATGAATATGTATTTTTAATATTTGCAGGAGGGTTATAATTATATAAAATTATTTCTGTTTTCTCAATATTTCATTTATATCCGGAAAGAGGGCCAGAATTCTGAAATGGTTTCATGAGTTGAGGTAAAGACTTGGTTGGGTCTCCAAGACAAACCAGTATATCATCCGCGTAGCAGGCTATTTTATGTTCCACTCCTTTTATATCAATGCCTTGAATGGTTTGATCCTGTCTGATGCTTTGTGCTAGCGTTCAAAATAGAGTGCAAACAGCTGAGGAGACCGTGGGCATCCGTGCCTGGTGCCTCTCTCCAACGTAAAGAACTTTGATAAATAACCATTCATCTTTATTTTTGCAGTCGGTCTATCATAAAGTGCCTGTATACTTCTGATTATGGTTGATTATATAAAATTATTTCTGTTTTCTCAATATTTCATTTATATCCGGAAAGAGGGCCAGAATTCTGAAATGGTTTCATGAGTTGAGGTAAAGACTTGGTTGGGTCTCCAAGATAAACCAGTATATCATCCGCGTAGCAGGCTATTTTATGTTCCACTCCTTTTATATCAATGCCTTGAATGGTTTGATCCTGTCTGATGCTTTGTGCTAGCGTTCAAAATAGAGTGCAAACAGCTGAGGAGACCGTGGGCATCCGTGCCTGGTGCCTCTCTCCAACGTAAAGAACTTTGATAAATAACCATTCATCTTTATTTTTGCAGTCGGTCTATCATAAAGTGCCTGTATACTTCTGATTATGGTTTCATGAAAACCAAATCTGTGCAAAACCTTATAGAGATATGTCCAGCTAACGGAGTCGAAGGCTTTTTCAGCATCTAAACTTAAAATCATTGCTTTTAATTTATTTCTCCTGATATGATTCATAACATGCAGCGTGCGTCTAATATTATCCTGTGTTTGACGCTGACAGATAAAGCCTGACTGGTCTTGATTTATGAGGTTGGGCATGAGTTCTTCTGGCCATAATTGATGTAAACAATCTATAATCAACATTTAATACAGATAGAGGTC